CCCCAAAACCCCAAAACCCCAAAACCCCAGAAGGTGTATATTAAATTGAAAAAGGGCAATATTCTAACATCTGAATCGGAACTTCTTATTTTCTAAATTTCCCATACCTGTTGTTGGCTTCGATTCGAGAGGTTGCATATTTCCCAAAGCTCAATTTTTTAAATTGATGGAGGAAAGCTAAACAGGATTCATTTTGAACTGTGGCCACTTCCCTTATATACTAGACTAAGTGCTTGACCCCTGCTTTAGTAACCAAAGACATAATTTCTTCGAATTATTAATAACATCATTAAGGAAGAATTAATTAGCTAGACCAAAGATGAGACTTGGCAGAGAATCTCTGCAAGTTGGTCCCTTGTGTAGCTATAATTGGTCTTGCTCTTCATACCATGGTGGAGGATCTCAAAAATATCGTAAAGACTAGCAGCCTGTTCCTTTGTCTGGACGACTCCAATGTACTGTTTCTTGTTCTTGTTAGTAAAGAACACCTGCCATTTATAGCCATTCATACTAACTCCTCTGAAGATAGAGCCTCTGTACTTTGATACTTGCCCACCAAGCCTGATTTCTTTCTTGGGGTTTGAGGCTATCATGACTTGGTCAGGTGATTTCGAGCAGTCAGAGACTGCTCTCTCCAGTGCTTCAAGCACGGCTTTTCTTGCCTTATTTTGGACCTTAGTCTTCCTAGAGGAATAATTAGTAATGATTAATGATGTTTATAACATAAAGAAAATTCATCTGAAAAGTACTATTTTTATTAGATTTTAAGTAATTTTTTGAAGTTTTAGAACGATTTAGTCATGAATAATTAACGGCAAAGAAAATTTTAACTAAACCACCAATTGTAATATAACTAAATTGTAGAGTACAGGTTGCCTATAGACACCTTGGGATGGGAGACTTCCAGCTCGTATGAAATAAGCCCATCTAGATTGGCCCCTTCCTTACTTAGTAATGGTCTTCCCTCAGATCTATCCATAGAATATTTTAGTTCAAAATTAGAGTATTTTTGATAATATTAACTTTAGTGAGGACATCACTTAAATGTTATTTTTATCAACCAGATAAAAGTGAAGACATTTAACCGATTTTGTACCCAGGATTTTGCACCTAAGATTCCTACTAATTTGGATGTTTTGACATGCAGATACTAACCAAGGTGCTCTAATAGCAGACTTTAAATAGAATAATGCCGATGAAAATCACAACGGTTAAGGCCACCTTCTAGAATTAATGAATCGACTGCACAGGTTTTGAAGCAGGGTTCTGCTACAGAAGGCTAGAAGAAACCCCTGACCTAAGAACTAGGAGCGGAGTCTTCTATTTCATCACAGATTATTTCATAAACCGTCAAATTTAAATTTTAATACAATAAAGCTTGCTTACCTTATGTACTTCCGGATTAGGGCCTGAGCCTTATCCCAAATTTTGAACAGTTCATCTAACTGAGAGTGGCCATTCTCAGTGGTTTCACTCTTCTATAAGGAGGAAGTCAGGATATGCCTTAAGTGTTATTAGCTGTAAATTCTCAGAGTTTAAAACCAGATAAAACCTTAATAATGTTCAAACTTACTCTAGATGTACAAATATCCAATTGGTCTTCAGTGCTTCTCCCAGATGTCTGAGACTCCTTTGGAGTCTCAGACATCTGTGCAGAAGGATACATAGCTGGCTGACAATTTGGTAGATTTCCATCAGCTAAATTCTCTTTAGTTTCACTGATAAGGTGTACAGGTTTGTAAATATTAGTGTTATTTTGGAAATAACTTCTATGTAAACAAGTTAGGACATCTTATCAGACATGCGGCCTGGATCCAACCATGGTTGGATCCAGGCACTGCGTCAGGCTTAAGTCTTAAGGACATGGTTGTTATGAAAGAATTTGTACCCAAGAGCGAACCCTGTTTTGTATTATGATCTCATTTCTCAGATAGAGGACTTCAGATAGTCAATATCAATAGGAAACTCATTGTCTTACCTTTTGAAAATCTGGCTGTGCTCGAACTGAAGAATGTTGTGGCCATAAACACTAAAATTGAAGAAAGCCTCTAGAGGCTGTGGGGTGGCTCAGAACATGTTTGGCACCTGATCTTTGGCATTTTCAACACATCTCGGCTGGCAGTTCATTATATTGTTTTATGATTAATTTATTTAACTCAGCAGGCGAGGCTTATAAGGGGTTTTGGGGTTTTGGGGTTTTGGGG